CTCTCACACACACACACACACACACACACACACACACACCATCGCTCTAGCAGCACGGCCCATCTCCACTTTCCAAGATGAAATGAGGCACCTCCCCGAAGTTCGCGCAGGGGAGAGAAGAGATGTTCGAGAAAACATGTAGAAGTTAGCAGAACGAGTTACCTGAAAAGGTTGCTATGTTGGCACTACGTTTATATAAAGAATAATACTATGGAATTAACAAAAACAAATATAAATATTTCGGCATGCCAATTGGCATCGTTGTATTCCCCGAGGTCTCACCACGTCCTCTCCTAAATTAAGCCCCCAACTTGCCGCTCGTACGCTATCTTTCCCCCCCGTGACCCGTCCATCTTACGCCCTCCACCGGACCACCAGTCTCTCACTGCAACCACATCCGTTGGCGGAGCCAACTAAAAATAACTACGAACGCATCATGCATGCATGGTCCCCTCCGGCCTTCCAGTGGACACACACGCCACTTTTCCAAGGGTCGCTTGAGTCACTTGTACTTCTTCACCTCCCTCCAATCCCCCTCCATAGCTCACCTAGTCTGTGCCTCTGTCCTGGAACATTCACCCTCTGTAATGTCCAGGTTGAACCAGTGACTCTGACTGACTCAGTGAGCGTTTAGCCATCTGGTTCCATGCAGGCCCTGAGATCCAAAATGCACGGAACTCTACTTCTTGGCAGTTCTTGCCGCAAGTAGGGCCACAGAGAAAGCGAATTGCACAATAGTTAAGGACCTTAAGGTATTTGGGCATCATTCTGTTGTTTCCTGCTCTAACTTACAGACTTGCCGGCGTTGCCGCCCTTCCAGACGTTCCTTGCAAGTTGGGAGCCGCCCATTTGTTGTTTACCTCCTCCCTCTCCCAACAACGTATGGTCAAAGAAAGACCTGAATCGATGACGGAACTTTAGTGGCAGCCTGCCTCCCTCGCTGCCTGGTCGTGTAAACTTACAGATTCTTACGTCTTCTGACTCTGCTACATGAAGCATGATGAAGGTCCCCTGGGACCCCTCCCAATTTGATCCTGTATTTCCGATCTAGCCGTCGTTGGAGTGACTCAGTGGAGTGGATCCCCCGCCATTAAGCTCACCCGATGTTGACCATTATTTCAGTAGGCATCTTCCCCAGCGGTGTGTTCCAGCCTCCAGGCAAGTGCCCTTTGCTCGCCGCCTCGAGCTTTGCAGCCTTTGCCAACGACTCCAACTCCTAGTCTCATGCCCATACGTCCACCTGTGGAGGGACTGGAGTTCCATCTCGCCAGCATCTACGCCAAGTATAGGCTTGAGAAGTTGAGAGTCTTGAGACGCTCTAAGGCCTGTGTCCAAAACAAGGGAATGGGTACAAGGTCTACCCCTTTCCTTCACGCAAGGACAGTATTGGCAGCAATGGCAGGCTATGACAAACAGCTCTGTTGTCCCTTAGCCATGGCGCAAGGGCAAAGACTCAAAGAGAGCCATCCCTTCTGCTCTCCAAAAGACTCAAGTTGACTCCAACTGAACCCAACTGAACCCGGACGAGTCAGCTCAGCTGCCTCTCCCCTTTTCTCTCCCTACAAGCAGACCTGGCCTCCCCCTGCGTCCCCCCCCCCTCTTCCCCCTTCTGCCTCGTAATTGTTGCTCTCTTTCCCTTCAAGCACCTTGCTGTCTGTGAAACATAAGTGCAAGACCCACTTCAAGACGCATCCCCGTCCTCCCAAAACAGTTTCGGTCCTTTCGGACGCTTATAATTTCCCTTGCCTACAGTTTTGCACCCTGCAAGCTGCAAGCACTGCCAAGCAGTCTCCTTCCCTTCTTTCTGCCCAGTCTTTCACTTCCTCTCTCTTCTCTCACGCATACCCGTCTCTGCACCGACTCTGAGTCTGCACGACTCTGCAGAGCATCCTCACCGGACCTCACGTGGTTCAGAAGCACGCAAAGTCCTCGTATATTCTTGTCACAGTCCGCGGTCCCTGCCTAAGTTCCGCTCCATCTTTCTCTGTCTTCATTCCTTTCTTCGCTGCACGCAAACCCTCGGCGGGTGCTTCAGACTGTTGCAGGCCAACTATGACCGGTCCTCTCCTTCAAGCTTCTCCCCCGTGCCTTACCAATAGGTCCTCACGTTCCTGGTCCTTCAAACTGGTTACGTCTCACAGCTGAAGCTGCAGATGCTTTTCACCCTGCAATCCCTGGATGCATCTAATAAACACTAAGGTGACTAAGCACAACCACCACCCGCTCTCACACGGACTCACACCTGCTTTCCACCTTGCAGCCATGTGTCTCCAGACCATCTGTGCCACAGGAACTACCATACTGCGAAACCACAGAATGCGCGAGAAGAAGCGCACCGGGCCTCTGACACAGTGCCTGATTCAATTTGCATCTGCGCCAGAGAAAGACCGCCAATGTACATCACGTAACATCAGCAGGTCATTCGGCTGACAGTTATGCTTACTTACCATATTCATAATTCCTCCGCCAGCGTATCAGCCACAGTGCGGACTAGAGCAACTGCCCATCGACTGCCCCGGTCCTTCAAACTGGTTATGTCTCACAGCTGGAGCTGCAGATCCTAAGGCATCTTGTTGTGCTGTCCCAACACCTCCTTCGGGTACAGACCGTACAGCTGAGGTAGGATGATTTGCAGCGGCCCCATTTGCATTCTGGAACCCTCTTATGTTGCCTTCCAAGGCAGCCAGTCCTTCCAGCTCGGTTGCTGAAAGCGACATGGCCTTCTCGCTGCCACCAAGTCCAAGGAAGTCTCTCGTTACCGCTCCCATGGTTCCCCTCTCTGCGTCCAAGGAGGTGAGGGACAAGTTGGACAACCTCCCCGGCCGTACGCAATCGCCTTGCGGCTCTCCCATCTGCTGCTGATGCTGACCTTTCGTGGTCACTGCTGCGCTCATAGGCATGCCGGCTCCTAGACCCTGCATCTGGCTGATCGTCTCACAGACGACAGAATTATTCTGCAAACAAGCCCTTTCACCCCCCCCGGCGGGTCCAGCTCTTGGTCCTCCCCCTTGCCCCCTCAGGTTCCCCCCAGCTCCCGCATTGAGCAGGATATCTCCCTGAAAAGGATCTCCATAGCCATACAGCCCCATTGGCGCGACCAGGCCATTTGCTGCCATGTTGCCACCAGAGGAACCAGCAACACAACCGTACACATTCATGCTCGACGAGTGACAGAGAGGTTGGGGACCAGGGCTTCCGCTTGGCCCGTTGTTAATCATGTCATGTAAGCTCCCACTCCCCGATTCCCCATGTCTTCCCTGCTCATCGAAATTCAAGGTATGCGTGTTAATCATACCAGATCTCGAGCCAGGTACGTGATGATCCATACTGCTACTGCCACTGTCCCTGGAGCAAGTCCCCTCAGCATTGAGAGTCGCTCCTCCGTCGAATCCCCTCAGCATTGCCTGTATCTGGCTCTGCATAAGTGCGCCGGGGCCTTCCTCTGTGCCGCTCCCAATCCCGGCGCCTTGTGTCACACCCGTCGCTCCCTCTGCTCCTCCTCCTCCTCCTCCTCCTCCTCCTGCTGCTGCTGGTCCTCCTCCTCCCCCTCCACCTCCCCCCATTGCCCTCGACACTCGAGATCCAGCCCCCCAGAATGCCGTCAACGCCGCTAACGAATTGGATATGTTTTCACCGAACAAGTCGCCTCTCAGGTCTGACCTTGAATTTCCTTCCAGGCCTCCACTACCTTCCAGCTGACGTTGCGCCATCGACTTTTGCAGGTGCATTAATGCCGCCCCGGAGTTGTGGTCCCCCCCCCTTTGTGCGCCACACCCGTTTGCTCCCGCACTGCCCTGCTCTGGGGCCTGCTGTTGGCGATGATACTGCACCTGCTCGTCCGTGTGATGTAGAAGGTGTTGACCGTGTTGTGGCGGTGGCCCACGATGCGCGTGCATGACTTGATGCTGTGGCAGCTGATGACGATGGTTCTCCCCTTGCCTTTGCTGCTGCTGCTGCTGCTGCTGCTGCTGCTGCTGCTGCTGCTGCTGCTGCTGCTGCTGGTGTTGCTGGGCCGACAAGACCAGCGCCATGGCCGCGGCGGAGGGAGTGTTTGCCAAAGGCCCTGTCAACAAGCCGCTCGAAATGGGCAACCCGTTCGACGCCGTTCCCATCGAGTTCCCCTGCTGCACTGTGCTGCTGCTGCTGCCATCACCGCACCTATGATGATAAGTGTCTACGGTGCCAGGAGGAGGCCCTCCCTGACGAGGGTGATGCGGCCCCGGCTCGCCCGGTGATTGAGACTCGTGGTTCTGGTCGAGCATGTCACCGGTGGTCGTCCTCGGCGGCATCCCCATCCCGTCGTGCGCATTCTGACAGGCCAATAATAACCCACTAGCCGTCATCGCCCCTCCTCCACCTGGACCTGCGCCTGCTGGCCCTGCCACGTGTCCGTTGGACTCGTTCCCGTGATGACTGGATGGAAGCGGAATCTGGCCTGCACTCCCCGAAGCGAACAACGTAGCGAACAGGCTGCCCGCTGCTTGGCGTGGAGCCGGTGGAATTTGCGGATACTCGAGTTGAAGCGGCCCTCCATATCCAGCTCCCGCTTTGTGCCCACCCTGATGAACATTGCCGCCCAAGTAGGGCGCCCCCCCCGGGTCCACGGTGCCATTTACCAGGCCAGGGTTGACGCCGAGCAGAGACTGGGGAAGCATGAGCGGCATTCCCCCATGATGACCTTTGGCACGGTCTTGGGGAGCCTGCCCTAGCCACAAACCCAATCTGGAACTCAACCCTTGAGGAGAACTGGGGACGGATGCCGTCTCTTGGCTCCAATGATGAGCACCTGGCATCAGTCCCAGCCGATCTCGGTATCCGCTCCCCAGCAGCTCCATCGCCGCCGCGGCTTCTCCCCTGCTCTCTCTCAATGCAATGTCTCCAGCCAGCCACCCCGGGAGCATCCGATTCGGCCCGAGCTGCGCCAGGTCGCTTTGGCCGGGATGGAACCCCGCTGGCAGAGACTTCTGGTGGGCATTCACTCTCGCTGCGGTCTCCGCCAGCGTGTCGCAGAACGCCCTGTGCGTAATGAAGCTGTCCCTCCTTGCGAACAGTGTCCCGCAGTCGCACCGGTACTCCCGCGTGCCGCACGTCTTCATGTGCGCCTTCCAATCCGACTGCACGGCGTACTTCTTGCTGCACTTGTCGCACTCGAACTTCTTTTCTCCGTGTTTCCTGCAGTAGTGCTTCTTGATGCCAGTCAGATCACCCAGTGCTCGCGCCGGATCGTGGTGTAGACACGTCGGCTCTGGGCACACGTACACTCGCTTCCGGCATTCCTTGTTAGGCCGCTGCTTCAGCTTCCACGGAAGGTTGTGCCCTCGCCGGTGAAGCTGCAAGTTCTGGTCTCGCTGAAAGCCCTTGTTGCAGATCTCGCAGACAAACCGGTTCGTCGCCATCAGCGTGCGCGGGGACAAGGCCACCACCTCCGCCTGCGGATCGGGCGTACCGGGCAGGCTCCTCTTCCGCTTCACACCCGTAACAGCTGCTGCTGCATCTTTCCCGCCGCCGATTCCCGACCCACCAATCATTTTCGAGCTCGTGCCGCCGATCGATAGCCCCACGGACCCGCCACTTCCCCCCCCCCCGCCTCCTGGTTGTCCTATTCCAGCTATCCTCGCCGGTGCTCCCTCTGCGCTGTCTGATACTCCGTTTCCGGCAAACGAGCTGCCCGACATCTTCATTCCATTCGCTCCAGCACCTCCTCCCCCTCCTATAACTAGCGATCCGGAGGTTATTTTCGACGATAACGTCATGCCAGGATCATCATGGTTGTTAGTGCTCGCCGTCATCTCCGTCGTGCCGCCAGACGCCACACTCGTCGTGTTCACGTTTGACCTCGGCATGACCCCCATAGACTCGATGAGTCTGCAATCCTCTTTCCCGCTGCCTCCGGCGGATCTCGGATTCTGCTCGACTGACTTCTCCGGGGGCGGCGAGAGAGTGCTCGACGCGCTAGACTCCTTCGTATCGACTGTCGTGTGCGACCGCCCTCCACTGCCGTTCCTGTCCATCATGGTCGCCTCCATCATGAACGACCTCGGTGAAGCCGGGGACGTCGACAGGCACAGCGCCTCCGAGCAGGAGCGCATCATCTTGAAGCCCGATCCATAACAGCCATTCAAAGTGAGGCACTCAGACGACTGCGGCGGCGGGCTGTAGGCAGCGCGACCGTCCTGAGGCGCGCAAACAGAATTGCCATGGAGGTGGGGTGGCACGGATGTGTGCCCGCCTCCGCCTACGAAACTACCCCCTCCCCCGAGCACCATTTCTCGATTACAAACAGGAGTGCTCCCCTTGGCATGCATTCCCATCTCCATATCGCACAGTCGATTATTGTCTAGACGACGGAGAGACAAATCCATTTCCGAGCTAATGGATCTCGCCTTCGATCCCAGGGGGTACCCACACTCAGCGTTGTAATTTTGCTATTGCTGAGGATGACCCAACGCCGAAGCCGACTGATGTTCTCGATAGGTGTGACACTGTGACTGCCTAATTCATGGCTGAGTCTGGCCCCGCTGACCGAATATCCAGGTATTCCTTTCCTTTCCTTTCCGATGAACAAGCAGCCATAAAGTATCCGACAGGACCGACACTTAGCGCGAGACCTTGGAGAAGTTGGAGTCAAATTCGAGGTATAGAGTGACAGAGCAAGAGAGAGAATAAAGGGGGAATACAGGGCGTGACGAAGGTACGAAAAACATCTCCGTTTTTGTCTCTCTCTCTCTCTCTCTCTCTCTCTCTCTCTCTCTCTCTCTCTCTCTCTCTCTCTCTCTCTCTCTCTCTCTCTC